AGAGCGGGGAGCAGAAAAGGCAGACCGAAAAAATACACTGCTGAGGGGAGCAGCGGGCACGGCAGGAGAGGTCTGCGTGCCATGTGGGACCCTCGCTGGCTGGCGGGGGATTGAACCGACACTGCAGAGGCTGCGGGCAGCTTCGCAGCCCAGCGCTCAACCACTGTGCCACGAGGGAGGCCCGACAATGCCTTTTATTGTTGAATATTTCTTTCTTGCTCACTAGCACTTATCACCAGGTTATCTTTTTTTTTTAAGATTTTATTTATGCATACAAGAACAGGGGTATGGGCCAGAGGTGTGTGTATGGGGGGGGTGAGAGAATTCACCAGAGACAAAATGGGGAACAGAACAGGCAGATTGACTGAAATACACTGCTGAGGGGAGCAGCGGGCGAGTCAGGAGAGGTCTGCTGCACCATGTGGGTAGCTCCCTGGTTGGGGATCAAACTCATGCTGCAGTGGCTGTGGATAGGTTCACAATGCTATGCTTAACCCCTTGCGTCACCAGGGAGGCCCTAGGTTATCTTGTATATTGATTTATTTATTATCTTTTACCTCATCACCCTCTGTTGAGCTCATTCACTGCTGTATTCCCTGTACCTAAATAGTGTCCAGCATAGAATAAAAACTGAATACATACATGAAGTGAATGAAGAAATCTATGTAAGATGTTACACCTTAGGAAGCAGTTAAATTTCAACTACTTATGCTTTTGTTTTTTTTTTTTTAAATCTGTGGTCACTCTGTGCATTGTCCTAGAGCAAATATTTCTTACATGGCTCCATGAGCGGGCTCTGTTCAAGGCACTAGGGGTACTGCAGTGAACAGGGACAGAACTCCATGCTCTCATGGAGCCCACATGCTGCATTTCCTGTTTTCAGTCTCTGAGCATACATGTCATTTCTCCTGAAATGATGCTGTCCCCACGTTGCCACTCTCATTGTACTTCTTCTCCCTGTTGGTGCGATTACCACGGCTTCCTCACTGCTGTCTCTAGTCTCCTGGCCTCATCTTCCCCGTGGGCATTTCCTCCTGTGTTGTTACCACGCTGCAGACCTGCGCTTGGGAATCCCAGGTCTGTAACTCACAAGCTGATAGCACTTGGGCCAAGTGACAGTTTCTTCACCCGTGTCATCAGGGAGTATAGCAGATACTGCTGTTCCTCTTCTGTGTCCTCTGAGATCCCCTTCCCATTTCCTGGCATAGCTGGTGTACGCCCCCTTCCAGCAACTGACACCAGAGTCTGCTGGCACTTTCTGGAAGATGGCAGCTTATGCTGTGATGGGAATCGTGTCAGTCACCTACCGAGCACCAGGCGCTGTGTGTCATATACATGCCCTTATCCGCAGTAGCCTGAGATAGGTATTACGAGCCTTTGTTAGGTTTGGGCTGTGTCGACCAGAAGTTGACTATGAAATGAAGATTTTTGTACGTTTTATCCGGAAAAAGCAGGACTAGAGGATGGGAAGGAAAGGGGAGGGGGGTCAAGCAAAGGTATCATAGGGGATAACTTAGACTTCATCTCACATAGGAGAGCACTGAAAATAGCAAAGCACATATGCAGGCTTGTCCTAAACAGGAGCATGGAAACTGGACCAGTCATTGGTTAAGGAAGTCATAAACTTCTGTGCAGTCTGATGCTCTGTGCTTAGTGACAAGATGGCTTCTGTCTCCACCAGTGAACACTGGACTTGGTCATCAAGAAACTTGAAGGGCCTCCCTGGTGGCGCAGGGCTTAAAGTCTAAGCGCTATCAAGCTATCGCCAGCCACTGAGGCATTAAGTTCGATCCTCAGCTTGGAGCTAACCCACATGGTGCAGCAGACCTTTCCTGACTTGCCCGCTGCCCCCTCAGCAGTGTATTTCAGTCGATCTGCCTCTTCTGCCCCCCACTCTGTCTTTGTTGGATCCTCTCACCCCCTGCACCTCTGGCCTACACCCCAACTTTTGAATACATAAATAAAAGTAAAATCTTATAAAAAAAGAAAAGAAGGAAAACTTCTATTTGTCAAACACCTAATAAGAATTTTCTTGTTAAGTATCACAACAAACAAATGAAGTAATAATATGCTAATTTTACAGGTGAGGAATCAGTGGTAATCTATCTGCTTAAGACAGAATTAATAAGTGGGAAAGCCAGAATTCTACCTTAGTTCTTCCTGACTCCAAACATTCTGAGATTGCCATGCCACCAAGCAAAACAAATTTCTTTTTGGGAAACTGGGTTGCAAACAGGCCAGAAGTATAAGAAAAAGATGGGGTTATCAGAAAGCAATCCCTTGTAGAGTGGAAGATTGTTCTGTGAGTTTCTGGAAGAAATTTATATAAAATTAAGTATTATTACAGCTCTTACAATGGTTTCATAACATTTTAAATTAACTCCTGTACTTACCTCATTTTTCTCTCCACAACCACCTTTTGAGAGAAGTTGCCGTAGCTAGCCAAAGCAGAGAAAACCCTAGCCCCAAACTGTGACTCTCAAAACCTAGGGCTGCAGTGTAAAGGAGAGATGACTAAATTGGGAGAAATTCTGGAAGATGGGGGCTTATATGCTGGGGTGGGAAGGATTCTGTGGGAGGTATAGATGGGGAGGAGTTCAGCTTCTGGGAAAAGAAAGGGTTCTGAGAGAAGACAGAGGGGCCTTGTAGTTACAGTGGTTTGATTTTGGTGGGTGGGATGTTGCAGGGGCAGGGTTGGGAGAGACTGGTTCTATAGGCAAGAGGCCAAGAGTGAGTAAGAAGCAGGAGACAGTCTCAAAGGGGAGCCTGGGGTAGGTAAGGAGAGCTCAGACTAAGAAAACCCAAGGGGAAAACATGTTAGTAGGAATCTGTAGTTATGGTGACAGGTGAAATTGGTGGGAGAGGAATGGTAAGATTCTGCCTTTTTAAAAAAGATTTATTTATACATACAAGAATGGGGTACAGGCCAGAAGCGTGGTTGGGGGGGTGGGTAGGCGGTGAGAGGATTTGCCAGAGATACAGCAGGGAACAGAACAGGCAGACTGACTGAAGTACACTGCTGAGGGGAGCAGTGGGCGAGTCAGGAGAGGTCTGCTGCGCCATGTGAGTAGCTGTTGGATTAAAAATTTTGGTATCATAGGGCCTCTCTAGTGGTGCAAGGGGTTAAATCTCAGCACTATCAAGCTATCCACAGCCACTGCAACATGAATTCAATGCCCGGCCAGGAAACTACCCACATGGCGCAGCAGACCTTTCCTGCCTTGCCCACTGCTCCCTCAGCAGTATTTCAGTAGATCTGCTCCCCATTCCCTGTTCTGCTCCCCACTCCCTAGAGAATTCTCTCACCGCCCCCTGCGCCTCTAGCCTATACCCCAGTTCTTGTATGCGTAAATAAATAAATCTAAAAAAAAAGAAGAAACAAAAGAGGTTTGGTGCCCAGAGAGGAAAGTGCTGCAGGGGCAATTCCCTTCTCAGTCACAGGTTTGGTCTGGGATGGTCTGAGGGCTCCTGTCTAGTTCTTGTCCCACCTGAGCAAGAACCCTCCTTTCTCATAGTATGGAGACGCCTCCCCCACGACCTCCCAACACCCAAACCATTTTCTTTTTTTTTTTTAAAGGTTTATTTATTTATGCATACAAGAAACGGGGTATAGGCCAGATGCGCGGGAGGGTGAGAGGATTCACCAGAGATAGAGTGGGGAACAGAACAGGCAGACTGATGAAATACACTGCTGAGGGGAGCAGCGGGTGGGACAGGAGAGGTCTGCTGCGCCATGTGGGACCCTCCCTGGCCATTGAGGGATCGAACCCACACTGCATAGGCTGCAGACAGCTTCACAGCGTGGCGCTCAACTGCCTGCGCCACCAGAGGAGGCCCCATTTTCTTCTTGTTAAAAGAACATTTCCTGGGATTTCCATTGGCTGGGCCCAGTCCTGCCAAAGCCATCTTGATCTGCCCCAAATCTGGAAATGCCTGCTCCCAAAGAACTCTAGGTAGCAGGAGCTACAATCAGTCTCCCTCCACCCTAGCCTGACCTCCTCCCATTCTTCAGAAGGTTAGAAATTACAAGATTCTGAGCTGGATTTACTTGCCTGTTTACTTACAATTCATTTTGTCCAGCAAGGCACATGGAGACATTGCTATCTTCCTCCTTTCTGCATGAGAAAGCTCATCTCGGGTTTGATTCCCTGCCCTGAGGTCACATGGCAGAAAGCCGGTGGAACCTGGCTCTACACGAAGCTTGGACTTCCTACTCCAAAACTTTTGCAAGTTGTTCCTGTACCCTTTCTACCTCCACTCCCTGGCTGTGTGGCAAACCCCTAGTCAGATGGGGAAGGACAAAAGTAGGGCAGTCTCAATGCAGGATGAAGATGGCTGGCTTGTGTGAGTTGAGAGTGTAGTCGCCCAGGCTGGATGAGGTTTAAAGAAGGTGATACCAGGCCTCCCTGGTGGCGCGACCGGTTCAACACAGCACTATGAAGCAATCCACAGCCTCTGTAGCATGAGTTCAATCCCCGGCCAGCCAGGGAGCTACCCACATGGCGAGGCAGACCTCTCCTGCTTCCCCCGCTTCTCCCCTCAGCAGTGTATTTCAGTCAGTCTGCCTGTTCTGTTCCCCACTGTGTCTCTGGTGGATCCTCTCACCCCACCATGCCTCTGGCCTGTACCCCAGCTCTTGTATGCATAAATAAATAAATCTTAAAAAAAAAAAAGGTGGTGACACCAAGCAGGTCTTTGGGGAGAGAACTGGAGTCAACTTGGGGGAAAGTGAGAAGGGAACTGATGTCAGATGGGACAGTGTGAGCTGGGCTGGGGTAGTACATAGTTCTCAGCCTCCTGTTCCTCACAGCGCTGAGCTGACAGCGCGCTCGACCGAGCTGTTCCTCTGGCTCTCACTCCAGAAGCGCCCCTAAGACGCGCTTCTCTTTGTGGCCTCGATTGGTCACAAGGCCAACGACCCGACACACGTCACTCCCGCGCGTCTGCGAGGCCAGCGAGAACAGCCTCCGGCGTCGCAGGGGCTCATTGCACTCTGATTGGCTGCGAGGCCGGTGCCTCCAGATGAGCCACTCAGAGGCAGCCACCTGTCTTCCTTGCCTCTGATTGGCTGGGAAGAGCGCGCCCAGAACGGCCACCAGCTGCGACCTGGGAGTCCCCGTGAACCCGCGACCGTTAAACGGCCCAACCGCCAGGTGCCGAGTTACTTCATTTCAAGCTCTCTGGGCGCTGAGAGAGGTAACTTGACTGGAGGCGCGGTTGGGTCAGCGGGAGGCTGGGCCCGGGATGTGGGAAGGAGCAACGATAGGGGCTGGGCAGAGGCACCTGCCTCTGAGCGTTGGAAAGTGGGTTCACTGCCCCTATAAAGGCTAAGTTGTGGGGCGACTGGAGCTCAAAAAATTGGGGGGAACTCCCCCAAACTCCACCTCGGTGTATAGAAACCCCCTCCCCCGCTTCCAGCGGGTGACCCTGAGTCGTTTTTGCCCTTTAGTGACTCTCTAATTGTAACACCTGGGCAGGCTGAGGGGTGGGGATGAGGTGTTTGGGGCCCAGGCATCCCTTGGCCTCGAGGGCAGGGCGGGTGTGGAAGATGATAAATTATCTAGTGATGCCCTGAGTGTGGGTTGACTCCTCCGAGTGTCAGAGCTGATGTGAAGGAAAAAATCGTTCCGAGCTCTGGGCCTCCCTGGTGGTGCAAGCGGTTAAGACGCAACCTGTGAAGCTATCCGCAGCCACTGCAGCATGAGTTCAATCCCCCAGCCTGCCAGGGAGCTACCCACATGGCACAGCAGACCTCTCCTGTCGCCCCCGCTGCTCCCCTCAGCAGTGTATTTCAGTCAGTCTGCCTGTTCTGTTCCCCACTCTGTCTCTGGTGGACCCTCTCACTTCCCACACCTCTGGCCTGTACCCCAGCTCTTGTATGCATAAATAAATAAATCTTTAAAAAAAAATTGTTCAGAGCTCAGCCCTGGGTATTAATGTAGGCCCATCACTTCCCAGTGCTGTGATGCTGCTGGGGCAACTAAATGCATTTCAGTTTCCCTACCAACATGTGGAAGATAATGAAATAACCCACGTTAAAGAGTTGTTGTGAGGAATGATTAGAGAGCAGTCGTAGATTAAGTGTATGCCGGACAGAGTGTGTGTCACAAGGTAAACATCCAAGCATTCATGTTAGAGTTGTTATTCATGTGATGTATGTGAATGTGAGAGAATAAGATGATGATTTTTCATATTTGAAAAGGATCCTGATCCCCAATGATAACTTCAGTTTATGTCTCCTCTTGATGACTACTGTGATCTACCACACTATACATTTTTGTCTCCAAACTAGATATTTTCCCAGTCTCTGCTGCTGAACCTGCAATTTTTTTAAACATTTATTTTAAAACTGGGGTGTAGGCCAGAGTTGTGGGGATGTGTGTGTGAGAGGATTCACCAGACAGAGTGGGGAGGAGAACAGGCAGATTGACTGAAGTACACTGCTGAGGGGAGCAGTGGGCGAGTCAGGAGAGGTCTGCTGTGCCATGTGGGTAACTCCCTGGCCGGGGATCAAACTCGTGCTGCAGATAGCTTCATAGTGCTGAGACTTACCCTTGCACCACCAGGGAGACCCTCAAGTTTATTTTAAATTAGTACATTATATCTGTTTTAATCTTTTTTATTCTAAAGTCAGTGATGAAATGGTTGCACATGAATATAATCAGGCATTGGTGCTTAAATAACTGCCAAAACAGAACTAATAAATTCTAGATTGGGTCAAGAACTGCCATATAATATAATAGTTGGTGTGATATCTTTACCATAGAATTATTTGAAGTTTTTTAGGTTTTAGCCTGTAGTAAGATTTTCTTCCTAAATTTTCTGAGCTCTGTAATAACAAACTATGACTACTAAACCATGAGGTGTGTTAGAATGGCACTGTTGATGATTCTCTTTACATGCTACATGTAAGAATTATGAAACTTAGCTCTCATTTTCATGAGAAATGTATATATCTCTCACATGTAAATTTTCCGTGTTTTTGAGAATGGTGTAGTATTCTTTAGATCTTATAAATTAATTTTGAACTTTTGAGTTTAATTTTTTTAAGACTTTTTTATGCATACAAGAGCTGGGGTACAGGCCAGAGGTGTGGGAAGTGAGAGGATTCACCAGAGACAGAGTGGGGAACAGAACAGGCAGATTGACTGAAATACACTGCTGAGGGGAGCAGTGGGCGAGACAGGAGAGGTCTGCTGCTCCATGTGTGTAGCTTCCTAGCTGGGTATCAAATTCGTGCTGCAGAGGCTGCCGATAGCCTCATAGGTTGCATCTTAAACCCTTGCGCCACCAGGGAGGCCCCTGAACTTTTCAATTTAAATGTTATATATATAAGATTGAACTGAAAAGCTGGTTTTGTTACTCCATAGCACCTGACCTAAGAAAGGCCCTAGTATGCAGATGAGGATGTGACAGTGAGATTGGAGGAGCAATGGACTCTGGAGACAATAGGAGCACTAAAGAGAAGCTAGTAGAGAAGGTGAAAGAAGCTATAGTAATTTTTAAGCATATTAAATGGGTGAGTTTATATATTTAAAGATTTTATTTATGCATGTAAGAACTGGGGTATAGGCCAGAGGTGGGGGAGAGTATTCACCAGAGACAGAGTGGGGACCAGAACAGGCAGTTTCATATGTTGAGATGTTTCATAGAGCTTGACTGACACTTTTGACCAAATCAGTCCTGCTTCTCAATTATATGCAAGAGTAATCCTTTCCCAGCTCTCAGTAATTAATCATAATCAGTCAGCCTTTTTTCCCCGTAAATAAGCTAAGAGATTCAAATAAATATATCTTGGAAGAACTAACATTATGTGTGTCTCATAAAGTAAACTGAGCCAAGTTTCAAAAAGGTCCAAGGGAATAGGGCTTTTATGATCAAGACATACTGTAGTACCAGGGATACATTTTTCTCTCGTGAGCTTTCTTACATAAGGCCATTGTATAAGTGTGAATGTTGTTCATCTAATAATTTTTTCATCCAAAATTCTATTAATAGGGACACACACACATACACATTCTTGTTAGAAAACATCTTCACAGAATCACTTTGTGTTTATTCTATAAGGTTTAAATATTTTCAGAAAGGAGATTTTGGTAGCACTGGTAATATGTGAAAATGTTTTTTATTAAAATAGATTTTATTTTATATACCAGGTAACTGTTCTTACCTCGCCATGTTCTCAAATATGGCACAAGAGAACCTCAGTGGCCATGTGGACATAAGGTAAATCCTTGGTCTTTCCTGCTTCATCTCCTTCTCCATTTGATTTTGGCACAGAGAGAGGCTTAGTATATCCCAGCCCACAGCTCTGTGCGGCTACCCAGATTCTGGGACTGAGTGTTGATGTGGGAGTGTCAGGGAAATGGCAGGGGATGGAGGACAGGGAAGAGAGGAGGACAAGGATATTTATTCCTAAAGGATGGGAGAGACTGTTCGACATCTGGGAACACTAAGGGAGGGAGTGTTCCTGCGGAATATGGCCCATGATTTCTCCTGCTGCTTCTAAACAGTTTCATTTCTCTTTGTTGAAATCTGTAGGTTTTGCAGTTCTTGGTCTCATTATTTGACTCATCATGGTTCCCTTATTTTCTGATATTTTTTTTTCTCTTTAATCTAGACCAAAAAATGATGGTGCATCTCTGCAATTTGTCTTCCAGTCTCCACAGCCACCTCTTGCTTCCAGAGGAGCTCTGCTTTCAGAGCTGTAGGAATAAGATTTTTTTCCAACTTCTCTCCTTGTGGTGCCTCATGTCACCTTCTTGAAAGTCAGAACTTTCTCTGTCATGGAAATATCTGTGATACTCTTTCTCTACTGCCCCTCTCACATATAAGATGGCAGTGTTAAAACTGTACTGAATGTTAAAAAAAAAAAAAAAAAAGTAAAAAAATCTACTCCTTAAAAGAACCTGTATGTGTACATTTTGTGTCTCCAGCTGCGTTTAACCAGGAAGGTATAGAACCTTGGGGTTAAGGAAGAAGAACTTCAGCCAGGCCTTACTTAACGGTAGAAAATCAGGGTAGAGGGAATTGGTTATTCTAGAAACATGATTTGGTGGATGGTGTGTGTGTGTGTGTGTGTGTGTGTGTGTATGAATTGAGTATGTCACTTTAGAGGAGGAAGTGTATGTGCAGAGTGTATGTCCTGACGAATACTACTCCTTGGGTGATGATGTTGACACTAGGCACTGTTCCACAGAGCCGCTGTTGCCCATCAGTAGTCTCCCGGTGTTTTACTACATGGGCTCCCAGTGTCAAACAGCTGCAGTTTCACCAAAGGGGCTAGAGTCTAGTAGTAAAACAATTATTTGGGGAGCATCCTAATAATGTAAAAAGTATATCTCTGAAACAAAGTCATTGAAATTGGCCTCCAGAATTGAGGAATGAGTGAACAAACTCAAAAGCCAAATAGTTACATATATGTTTCAGTTGATTAATACAGCAAAGATTAAGAGGCATGTGTTTCACCAGCCATGCTCTAGTCTTTGACATTCTTTTTTTAAGATTTATTTATGTATACAAGAGCTCAGGTGCAGGCCAGAGGTGTGGGCAGTGGGTGAGAGGATTCACCAGAGACAGAGTGGGGAGCAGAACAGGCAGACTGACTGAAATAAACAGAGTGGGGAGCAGTGGGCAAGACAGGAGAGGTCTGCTGTGCCATGTGGGTCACCTCCCTGGCCGGGGATCGAACTCGTGCTTCTTAGTGCTGCGACTTAATCAATCCCTTGCGCCACAAGGGAGGCTCCCTACACCACTCTCTTTTTGCTACAATCACAGCTGAGCTAATGTTCAGTTTGAAAGAAGAGGATGAAGACACTTTTTTTTTTTTGTTTTGTTTTAAAGATTTATGAATACAGGAGCTGGGGTGTAGGCCAGAGGTATGGAGTGGGGGGGTATGAGGATTCACCAGACAGAGTGGGGAGCAGAACAGGTGGATTGACTGAAAAATACACTGCTGAGGGGAGCAGCAGGTAAGGCAGGAGAGGTCTGCTGCTCCATGTGAGTAGCTCCCTGGCCACGGATCAAACTCGTGCTGCAGTGGCTGCTGATAGCCTCATAATGCTGAAATGTAGGCCTTTGTGCCATGAGGGAGGCCCTGGAAGACCTTCATTTTAAGCAGCTTTATAGTCAAATATTTAGAGGTCTGGACCTTCCTTCTTAGTCTGCCAGCATCTACATTCAGTAGAATAGAACTGTATTGCTCATTGGGACCCAGTTTGTTCCAGGTTCTGGGTTCTAGTTTATTCTTTCTGTCCCAACTGACATCGGGATTGAGCAAAGCCAGACACATGACTTGCAGCGCTGCTCCAGTCCCTCTGGCTCCAACAAATACGAAGAGCAGGGGACCAATCCAGGATGCTTCATGGCCTGACTGGGGATCTGGTGGACTGTGGTTACGGGAGAGGTCTTGGGCCAGGAAGGAGAGGAGAACAGATCTGCAAGTCCCTGCACTCTCTGCTTAGAATTCTCTCTTTATTCCAACGAACAAAGCCAGGTATGATTTCTCTTTTGTGAGGGAATGAAATATAATACTGTGCTTTATGAAATTACCTGCTTATTTTACTATATAATTCTCCTCAATCTTATATTTTACATATTATACACTATTATGTCCCCTCATATACTTGTGTCCATCACCTATTGTGGACTGTTAACCTGAGAACATGGATACTTCATCTTGAAATCCCCAATTTCCAGTGTGTAGGAGGGTTCAGGAAATTACGTTGAATCATTGAATGATTTTTCACATAGGAGAATTGGTCAGAGCTTAAATTCCTAGAAGAAATCTCTTAGTCAAAGGATAGGTACAGTTTAATCTGAAACATACACTCTCAAATTGACCTGCTTAAAAGACTGTTCCAATTTATATTCCAAAACACATTTTTTTGTGTGTGGTTACAATTACCTTAATTTGGGGGTTACATTTTTGTTTTCCATAAGTGTACATGTTCCACTTACCTGTGTGTGGCTACAATTATTCCAACAAGCTGCTTTAGCTTAATTTACATCGTGGTGCTAACAAGCTTATACCATGCTTTGTTATGTTTGAAATGTAACCATTTTCATTTATCACTAAATAGCCTAAATATAATTTTCAAGGCTACATAAATGGCTCAAGACTATATAAATAGGGCCTCCCAGGTGGCGCAGGCGTTGAGCGCTGGGTTGCGAAGCTGCCCGCAGCCTCTGCAGCGCCGGTTCGATCCCCAGCTGCTCCCCGGCCACCGGAGGAGGGTCCCACATGGTGCGCAGACCTCTCCTGCCACCCGCTGCTCCCCTCAGCAGTGTGCTTCGGTCCTTCTGCCTGCTCTGCTCCCCGCTCTGGCTCTGGTGAATTCTCTCACCCTCCCGCGCTTCTGACTGTACCCAGTGCTTGTATAAACAAACAAACAAACAAATAAATAAATAAAAATACATGCCTCTTAAAAAAAATGTACATGAAGATTTTATTAAAGATAAAAATATTAAACATATATTTTTCTTCACCTGTTTTACCCATTAATCCATTGATGGACACTTAGATGAGTTCCATGTGAATATGAGTATAGCTATCTTTTTGAGCTAGTATTTTTATTTTCTTTGAATACCCAGAAGTGGATTTGCTGGGTCACATGGTAGTTTTAATGTTAATTTTTTCAATGCCCTCCATCCTGTTTTCTATAACGGTATAATAATTTATATTCCCTATTCTCCACATCCTAGCCAACACTTGTGATTTCTTGTTTTGGATAGTAGCCATCCTAAGAGTATCTCATTGTGGTTTTGATTTGTGTTTTCCTGATGATTAGTGATATTTAGCATCTTTTCGTGTGCCTGGTGTCCATCTGTGTGGATTGTTTGGAAAAATGTTTGTTCATATCCTTTGCCCATGTAATTGGACATTTTTTTTTTGGGTTGTTGATTTATGTGAGTTCTTTATATACTTTGGATATTAACCCCTTATCAGATAAACGATTTGTATTTTTCCCCTCTGATTTGCTAGGTTGCCGTTTTGTTTCGTGGATGGTTTCCTTTGCTGCACGGAGGCCTTTTAGTTTGTCCTATTGTTTAGTTTTGCTTTTGTCGCCTTTATTTTTGGTGTGCGAAGCCTGATGTTTTATGAATAAAATTCAAAACTTTTTCTCTGTGACACAGATGAAACTGCATTAGCAGAGAAGCCTTAAGACAATATGCAGATGCTGACTTCCAATGGCTATGAATTTTTTTCCTTTATTCAGGTCTTCCTTATACTGAAACCATGGTGGTCATAATGGTCTTTTCCTGTTTCTGCTTATCTTGCAAGAACAGCAGGGCGGCCTTGCAACAATGGGACAAAAACTCTCCTACCCATTTTAAAAAAGGGGGAAAAAACCTGTTCTTTCATAAATTGACCACTTGTGTCTAAGAGTGCAGGCCCTTGAGCTGTTATTGCTAGGACCAAAATTATCCATGGAACATGGAACTAAGGTGAAAGGCTTGGTTTGGTGTTTGGTTAAATGGGCAAAATCAGAAGTGAGGGGAGCTTTGGACCCAAATTCAAGTTACCCCACAATTTAGCAGAAAGCAACTGATCAGCCTCTACCAACATGCATTTTCCATATTTTTACTTCAAGACCACAAACACTGCCAAAGCCCCATCTTTGGGGAGACTGATTTAATTAATACCTTTTGCTTCAGATTCCTTCTAGAGGACATTGTATTAAACTGGTAATTTTTAAAAAAAGCTGGTGGCTTGGTTTCTTGGCTTCTGTGCCATTGGGTTCTAGGCCCTAATTCTGCAATGTTAGATATATTTTTAAAAGATTTATTTATTTATGCATATAAGAACTGAGGTACAGGCCAGAGGTGTGTGTGGGGGTGAGAGGATTCACCAGAGATAGAGTGGGGAGCAGAACAGGCAGATTGACCGAAATACACTGCTGAGGGGAACAGTGGGCGAGGCAGGTGAGGTCTGCTGGGCCATGTGAGTATCTCCCTGGCTGGCTGTGGATTGAACTCATGCTGCAGAGGCTGCGAATAGCTTCATAGTGCTGTGCTTAACCCATTGTGCCACCAGGGAGGCCCAATGATAGATATTTTAAAAATATTTTTTAGATATTAGCTTCTTATGAGATACATGAGTTTTAAAGATGTTCTCCCATTCTTTGCACTGTCTTCACTCAATGTCCTTGGATGCCTAGAAATTTTAAATTTGTTGTAGTCCACTCAATCTGTTTTTACTTTTTTTGCATATGCTTTTGGTGTTATGTCAAAAAATTATCACCAAATCCATCTCCAATGTGTCTTCTTCAAAGAGTTATATGATTTCTGCTTTTTTTCCCCAGAGATTTATTTATTTATGCATTCAAGAGCTGGGATAAAGGCCGGAGATACGGGGTGTGAGAGATTCACCAGCAACAATGGGGAGCACAACAGGCGGATCTACTGAAATCCACTGCTGAGGGGAGCAACGGACTAGACAGGAGAGATCTGCTGCGCCATGTGGGTCACCTCCCTGGCCGGGTGTTGAACTCATGCTGCAGTGGCTGCGGATAGCTTCATAGTGCCACCAGGGAGACCCTTGGTTTTTGCTTTTTTTTTAGAGGCATGTTTTTATTTATTTTTATTTGTTTGTTTTTTGTTTATACATGCACTGGGTACAGTCAGAAGCACGGGAGGGTGAGAGAATTCACCAGAGCCAGAGCGGGGAGCAGAACAGGCAGAAGGACCGAAGCACACTTCTGAGGGGAGCAGCGGGTGGCAGGAGAGGTCTGCACGCCATGTGGGACCCTCCTCTGGTGGCCGGAGAGCAGCCGGGGATCGAACCGGCACCGCAGAGGCCGCAGGCAGCTTCACAACCCAGCGCTCAACCGCTGCGCCACCGGGGAGGCCCCCTTGGTTTTTGCTTTTATAGTTAGGTCTTTGATTCATTTTGAATATGGTATAAGCTAGGGGACCAACTTTAATTTTTTGTAGGTGACTATCCAGTTTTCCTAGCACCTTTTGTTGAAAAGTCTGTGCTTTTCTCATTAAATGATCTTGGCACCCTTTTTGAAAATAATTGTCCATATATGTGAGGGTTTTTTTCTGGGTCAGTTGAACTGGTGAGGAGGGCTGTGTGTGGAGAAGCCCCCACCTTGCCACATACAGCTTTAGTCTCTGCTCATTGGGTGCTATCTGGGTTAGGACAGGCAGTGTCTGGCCACATGCCAGCCTGTGACTACCTACCCTACTTCCTTTCTTCTTTTTTCTCACTCCCTGTGTAAATAAATCCTCTTATTGTTGTTTCACACTGTCTCTGCTTTTGGGTGATGTCCTGCCGTTATAAGTGTTGAATGAGGGCCCACCCCCCAGGTTTGCTTGATTTCAGGCTTTTATACTCTGGGATGCTATGCACCAGCCCTAATAGCCCTGTGCCCAGGTATCAAACAACTGTGGCCAGGTACAGCCATATGTGTGACCCTGCCTTCAGCTTTCTCTCATTTTGAGCTGTAAATAACAGGTGTGACACTAAAGCTTGCATCTTTAAATTGTCACTGCATTGCAGCTGATCCCATGAAATTCCTCCTGAAGGGTTTGGGAGTTTATGGTTTCTGTGGGTTGGTGTGGTATGTGGGGCCAGGGGAAAGTTCTTTGCCATCTTTGGTGTAAAAATAAGGCTTGGTACACTAGGGGGCGCAGTAGTTTCATATTCTGCTTGCTTTCTTGTTGGATGCCTGTACAGGCCCTCTTACCACCTTGGTTTGGGGGTGGGTTTAGCCACCAATATCTTTTGTTAGTCTGCTTCTTGCTGGTCATATTTCAGAAACTCAGCCCAAAGGAAGATGATATCTATGAAAATGTCAAGATTGCAGGCATTAGCCCTGACCATGTCTCTAGCTATGGTCTCTTGAACACACCACCTCCTCGCTCTGGGTTCTTCTTCCACCCGTCTATGAAATAGGTATTATGACAAATTTGATCACTTGGGGTGAAGTGGAGGGTTATTTAGTATTGAAATGCTTTTTGGAGGGAAAACCTATCTAGTGTTTCTCCAGGACAGTAACACTATTCCTTTGCAAACCTGAAGGAAGATTGACTTTCCTGAGGGCAGTAACCACTGTAACTTAGACATTTGAAACTTAACTTGAATCACCCGGGAATTGAATGTGGCCCATCGAGTCTAAATCCAAATATTTTCTTGTTTCTTAGTTATGTCTAAGGGCAACATACCAGACTCAGGTGTTTTATGAGAGAAAATGATTTCTGTGCATGTAATTTATCCTAATTTTTACAACTAATGCCATTATTGAGCCTATATACATACCAGGACTGATGAATGCTTTACAAACGTAAACTCATTAGTCCTCCCACAAGTCTCATGCATTATCACCCCTTTTTCATAATTTTTTTTTTTTTACATAAAGTTGGTTGAACTCAAAGTAAGTGCTCTTAACCAACAGGGCTACCAGAGCTGTCTTTCCCTCCCTCAGGAATGCAATCCCATCACATGGCCAGGTTCAGTTAGACCATAAAGGATCACCTTCAGGCCACCAACCAGTGATCACTTATAATGATTTTAATCTCTAGGTATTTCATGTTCTAGAACCTTTTTGCTCCTACCCCAGGCCAGTGTCCATGGGGATTCAGGCAAAGTGCTCGAGGAAATTGCCAGGGCTTATGCCTCACATCTTCCTCACAGTACCCTCAGCTCTCCTGCTTGTCCTGCAACATCTTTTATTCCAACATAGAAACTTCCTTAGTTTCTGCGCGTGATGGGCATAGATTAACTGGGCAAAGACACTTGAGACTGTTTTTAATTACTTTTTAAATTTTATATATTTTTACATCATTGTTCATAAGATGTGGTACATATACACAATGGAATATTACTAAGCAATCAAAAAAGATAAACCCATGCAATTTGCAGCAACATGGATGGAGCTGGAAGGGATCATGCTCAGTGAAATAAGCCAGAAAGAAAAAGAAAAATACCAGATGGTCTCACTCATAGCAGGAATTTAGAAAACCTAAATAAGGGACAGGAAAATTACTAATTATAATAAAGTAAAAATAAAAATCAACAAGCAACTATAAACCAGAGACACTTGAGACATGTTCAGTCTGTTTCTGCCCTCCAGAGTTTACAATGATTGGAAAACCCTCACCAGCCTTGCAGTGAAACACTCAACCCACTTCCAGCATTCCCCAAGTTTATTTGACTATGGATCAGCATTTATATTTTGCAGGATGTCTATGGATTTGGTGCCATAGCTCACATACTAGGGAACATTGCTCTAGGTCAAGTTTTCTGAACCTCAGTTAATCTGGCCTGGATAACTATTAGGAAGGGCTATTCTGTTCATTGTAAAAATTTTAGGCTCTTCCCATTAGAATTCAGGAGCAACTCCCCAAAGCCAAACTAGAATGTTTGAAAATAGTGCTCTCTGTCACCTGGGGGCAAAGAACATGGTTGAGAATCACTACTGAAACACATGCTTTCTCAATAGAGGCAATATTGCCCTCAAGGAGGCAAAAATTGGTTCTTGGAGGTAAAAATATCATTTCTTTTATGTATAAAGCACAAATTTATATACACTACATCAACAGATAAGCAGTTTACTTGTGGTATTCAAATTTCACTCAGAGGTGATTAGGAAAAAACATCTGAAAAGATTCCTTTAAAGCGGTGCTAATAAAAAGTTGATAAACTCTGTTCTGGCTCAGTTTTTTAGTGCCTATGCATTCCACAGGAAAAATAACATTTGTGGCTCTTTTAAGTTGAACTCGTTAGCTAAGCAACTATAGACACAGAGGGAAAAAAAAAGCCATTTGGAAGCTGGCAGAAGCTTTTATTCCCCCCAAACATTTATTTTATTTATTTATGCATACAAGAACTGGGGTGTAGGCCAGAGGTGCAGGGGGTGAGAGGATTCATCAAAGACAGAATGGGGAGAACAGGTGGATCTACTGAAATACATTGCTGAGGGGAACAGCAGGTAAGACAAGAGCGATCTGCTGTGCCATGTGGGTAGCTCCCTGGCCAGGGATCAAACTCCTGCTGTAGTTACTGGTGATAGCTTGATAGCGCTGAGACTTTAGCCCCTGTGCCACCAGGGAGGCCCCTGGCAGAAGCTTTTTTGTGGTACTCAGAAGACTTAGGTCTGCAGTCAGCCCCTTGGCTCCGACAGCTACTCAAACCCAAGGGACTCTGTGAACCTAGCTCACTATCAGGTAGAAATTGCACAGCTTCAATGGAGTGGACTAAAGTCACTCCCAGATGCACACATTTGGTTATATTTTTCTCTTTTCTACTGTGAATACCCTTTTTCTTCTGTAGTTTAGCCTCTCTGACCACATCAGATCCCACTTGTTTGGAGAACATCACTTATCACCATGGATGCACTGAGCATCCGTGATGGGGAAATAACAAACAGCTCACCTATGCAAAATATAAAGATCATTTCTACTGCATCTAACCAGCTAAAAGGAAATTTTTTAAAATTAAAAACCCAACAAATTTTTTAAAACTAAGAGTTTTTCTTCTGAAAAACTGACTTCATTTTCTCCCTTAATTTAGCAAGCTATTCACTTTCAATTTGGGATAAAGAGTGACTAACAAGTCAATTTTATGCCTTTTGTTTAAAGCCGCTTAAACAGCATAGACAAATGAGGGATGGAGCTGGCGATGACAGGAAGCCACATACCCTTCAAAGGCACCTCTCTTTCTTAGTGCTGTGCTTTTTGAGTAAGCCTGTCATTGTTTCACAGACCTTCTTCGGAGGCGCTTGGAGAAAAAAGCAAGGTAAGTGGGGACTGGGGGTTATTCTCAGGGGCTCTGGCCATACACTGCTTTCTAGAGAGGCATGTGGACTTTGGCAGCCCTCAAAGCTGGCCAGCCACTCACTTGGTGACAACACAGGCATCTTGGTCATTCCAGTGCTCACAGTGGGCTTCTGTTTTGGATCTCATACCATCTACCTGTTCCCACATCCTCCTGGTCTGCAACTGATGGGCATTCTTACACACAAGACTGGCCCTGCACACGTCTGGCCAAAGCACCCATGCTCAGAACCCACAGATAATTTTCATCAAATATACAACCTGCTCTCAAGACCCCCAGGCTAAGAAACACCCTAGAAATTACAATTACAAAATAATTCCATACATTTATTAGTGATGTTTGGTTTTGTTTGTCCTCCTGATTAGCACCTAACTCCTAAACTTTTATTCTTTTCATTTTCACTGGCAAAACGGTGGAGAAAGAGTAGAATGGGTTGTTCATTCAAGTAGAATTGATATGTATCTAACAAACTTTTTTTTGAGATGCTGTGATGTACCAGGCCTTTGGCATCCGTTTGCAGGAGTGAACCAAAATCTTTCTCTTGAGAACACATAGTTTGGGTGTATGGCAGTGAGTGTGGGAGGTAGGGAGTAGAGTAGATGTGAGTTACTGAACAGTTAGAAAAAAGAGGAGGTGGTCTTGAGTCTGAAGTTCATCATCTTTGAATTGCTCTGATTCACATGCCAACGTGTATGTAACTTTCAGAAGATTGTAACCGATTCATCTGCCAACTTAGGAAGGCATTGACAGTGGTTGGGTGCATGTGTGTAGCTTTCAGAAGGTTTTAGCCCCTTCTTCCAATTTACAGAGGAAATTAGGGTTGTTTGGTTGGGGAGGTGGAGATTTTGTTTCTGGCCACGATGTGCCTTTTCTAGATCTGTCAGGCTAATTCCCCTTGGACAGTGTATAGGATTGATTTTTATATGCAGGGCTGATCAAAAAACCACAAATTTCCCTCAGTTTACCCATGGTGTACTGCAGCTTTCTAAAGGGCCTTGAAAACAAACTTGTTGCATTAGTGTCCAATTGGCTTAGGAATGATTAGCCACCCATTCCTGGAACGTCAACATATCACCCCCATGGTGCTTCTAGAGTGAGCAGAGGCTAGGCAGTGGCATGCCGCAGCAGCTTGTACTAACACCCAAGAGCTGACTATTAAATAGTCAGGAATTTTGGGGTGGGAGTATTTTTTTTTTTAAGATTATTTTATTTATTTATGCCATACAAGAGCTGGTGTAGGCCAGAGGTGCGGAGAGCCGGGTGAGAGGATTCACCAGAGACGGAGTGGGGAGCAGAACAGGCAGACTGACTGAAATACACTGCTGAGGGGAGCAGCAGGTGAGACAGGGGAGAGGTCTGCTGCCGACATGGGTCAGCTCCCTGGCTTCAGTGGCTGGTGATAGCTTCATAGCTCTAATACTTAACCCCTGCACCACCAGGGATGACTTGGGTGACAGTATTTACACCACAGAAAGCAGCAAATGCCTAAAGTTAGAGACATTATCCCTTTACCACCCCAAATCTGGTTACCGGAGCAACATTGAGAATTGGGGCCCAAAGCGAAAGTTCTACACACAGCTGTGTGGTCTTTCAAAGTCATTTAACTTCTTTGAATCTTTCATGAGTTCTTCTACCCCGTGGCTCAGTATACTTGCTTGGCTTATAGTATTGGATTTTTGTTGGGGGTGGGATGGATAGGAGCACGGGACTGGGATTAAATGCACCACCAGTGAATAGGTTTTGAAACCTAGGAGTTACAAAGCTTACAGGAGGTATCAGAACTTTTACATAAAGGCAGGTGACCAGTCTGGTTTTCTTCTAGCCCAGTGATTACCTAAGCAATTACTGAATTACCAGTTACAGGGGAAACATGCGTAGATTTATAAATGTTTGGGTTTTTGTGTCAGCAAAGTCCTGGGTACAGTGCTGTTGGGGAGATCAGTGGGTGCTGGCTTCCCTGCAAGTGATTTCATTAACTAGACTACATAATATCTTTTAGAAATAAATCCTTGAAAAACCCCTTTATGTAAAGGAGCTCTCACTATCCCCACTTACAAAGGAGAGAACTGAAGCCCCCAGCAGGAGGGGCAGAGAAGTGCCAGAGATGGGATTTGGACTCTGACTCCAAAGGGTGGGATTATTTCATTTGCATGGTTGCACTTCCCTGGGCGGAACTGAGTCCTTCCTCTGGGGAGGGCTAGGAAGGGTGCTTATAACCCGGGGCAAGAACTTTAAGCTGCGGACCTGTGCATTCAACACTGTTTTGCTCTTGTTTTGTTCTTAGAAATCTTGTTTGCTCTTCCCCTCATTAGGGTCTTCTGGTTGGGCCAGACCTGGCTTGAGAAACGTATAGGCTTGAAAATGAACCCCACAGATATAATGGACACTACCCTGGATGAAATTGCCTACAACAGTTACTATCTAGATATGAATATTCCCAAGCCTTGTACCAAACAAGGAGTCAAGGCATTTGGGGGGCTCTTCCTTCCCCCACTCTACGTTTTGGTCTTTCTTTTTGGTCTGCTTGGAAATGCCATCGTGGTTCTGGTCCTGCTCAAGTACAAGCGGCTCAAGTCCATGACTGACGTGTACCTGCTCAACCTCGCCATCTCGGACCTGCTGTTCGTGTTCTCCCTCCCTTTCTGGGGCTACTATGCTGCAGACCAGTGGATTTTTGGACTAGGTCTCTGCAAGATGATTTCCTGGGTGTACTTGGTGGGCTTTTACAGTGGCATATTCTTCATCGTGCTCATGAGCATCGACAGATACCTGGCCATTGTGCACGCTGTGTTTTCCTTGAGAGCAAGAACCTTGACTTATGGGGTCATCACTAGCTTGGCCATTTGGTCCCTGGCTGTATTAGTGTCCCTTCCAGGGCTTTTATTCAGCACTTGTCAAACTGAGCGCAACCATACCTATTGCAGAACCAAGTACCCTCATAACTCCACAAACTGGAAGGTTGTGAGCATCCTGCAGATCAACATAGTAGGAATGGTGATCCCCTTTGGGATCATGCTGTTTTGCTATTGTAAGATCATCAGGACCTTGCAGCACTGTAAAAACGAGAAGAAGAACAAGGCGGTGAAGATGATCTTTGCCGTGGTGGTCCTCTTCCTGGGGTTCTGGACACCCTACAATATAGTACTCTTCCTGGAGGGCCTGGTGCAGCTGGGGGTCCTTGAGGACTGCACCTTTGAAAGACACCTGGACTATGCCATTCAGGCCACAGAGACCCTGGCTTTTGTTCACTGCTGCCTTAATCCAGTCATCTACTTTTTCCTGGGACAGAAATTTCGCAAGTACATCATACAGCTCTTCAAAACGTGCAGGGGCCCTTTTGTGTTCTGCCAATACTGTAGACTCCTCCATAATTACTCCCCTGATACCCCGAGCTCATCTTACACACAGTCCACCGTGGATCATGATTTCCATGATGCTCTGTAAAAAAAAAGAAATTGCAAAGAACAGGGTGAATAAATTCCCAAATTAAGCGTTTACTTGAAATTGTATTTTAGGAAGAGGTCTCAGCAAATTTCAGGAAGAAGACTGACAATCCATTGCAGAAGGAGGGGTTCTTACCCTGCAGTCAGCTTTTTCTCAGGTCATGTAGGAGTTCAGTGCAGCAAGAGTTCTGTACTGAGGTGTGTCCTTTCTCACTCCATGTTTACCTGCAGCAATAAGTAAATCTTATAATTCTGAGTACAGTTTCAATGAGGTTATAGAAAATATTGGAAAGGAAAGACCATTCCCTTTTCCCCTGAGCTAATGGGGTTCTCCAAAGGGAAGTGCAGAGACTTGACTTATGGACTGCTGTGAAATTATGTCTTGCTGTGAAAACTGGACCCTTTATTAATTTCTAGATTTTGTGGATACAATATAGAAAACTTTGGCACACTGTTCTAAAATTTTTCTAGATATCTATCTGAAGCATGGTATTTCCATGAAGCGAGGTGTATGCAGCAGCAGCTAGTGAAGTCACGAACCTAGATTTTGATGCTTTCATTGCAAAGGATTATTTGTTGCTGGAAGCCAAACTGTTTGTGCTGATTACAAGTTGTAAGGACATGGAGGCATTAGTGTGGTCTGATTTCCAAACAAAAAGTACAAGGCATTCAAAATTCAAACGTACTTATGAAAATTCAAGTTCTATTGTGAAATTTCATATGCCCATGGACAGTTTTTATTTTAATCATAACAGATGAATAGTCAAAGAAATAGATTGTTCCATGTATATTTATTTGGGGTCTTTTACTTGTTTATAAATATTGTCTCCAAAACTAATAATGAGGACTAAGAAATTATGCAATTGTCTCCTTAATTATGTTGAAGTGCTCTCATCAATTGAGGTAGAAATTTTTGCTGATGTGGCATAAAAATGACTGTTAAGGGCCTCCCTGGTGGCCTGGGGGTTAAATCTCAGTTCCTGGCCAGGGAACTACCCACATATGGCACTGCAGGCCTCTCCTGTGTCTCCCACTGCTCCTCTCAGCAGTGTATTTCAGTAGATCCATCTCTTCTGTTCCCCACTCTATCTCCGGTGAATCCTGTCACTCCCCGAACCTCTGGACTACACCCCAGGTCTTCTATGCAAAAATAAATAAATAAAATCTTAAAAAAAAAAAGAAAAAATTATGAAATTGTGAAAATAGCCATCTCCTTTTTTAAAGTTCTGGTAAGATTAAAAAGTTTGGTCATTGATTTCCTTTCAGTCAAATAATCACATAATTAATAATTTCATACCATTAAGATAAATCTCTGTTCTTACTCTCAGCCTTAATTAATCAGAATTAAGTAAAGATTTTATTTAATTAAAAAAAATTTTTTAAGGATTTATTTATTTTTATACAAGAGCTGAGGCCAGAGGCACGGGAGGGTGAGAGGATTCACCAGAGACAGAGCAGGGAGCAGAACAGGCAGACGACAGAACTACACTGCTGAGGGGAGCAGCGGGCGATTCAGGAGAGGTCTGCCACACCATGTGGGATTCTCGCCGGCTGGGATCAAACCCACACTGTAGAGGCTGCGGACAGCTTCACAGTGCGGTGCTCAACCCACTGCGCCACCTGGGAGGCCCTAAATAAAGATTTTAACAATGTCTGGGGACACCTGTAATCCCTCCAGAAACAAAGCTTATCTTGCAAGCTACTAATTGGGTTATCCCATTTTATTTTATTTTATTTTTTTAAAGATTTATTCACTTATTCATACATGCACTGGGTACAGTCAGAAGCGCCGGAGGGTGAGAGAATTCACCAGAGCCAGAGCGGGGAACAGAACAGGCAGAAGGACCGAAGTACACTGCTGAGGGGAGCAGCGGGTGGCAGGAGAGGTCTGCGCGCCATGTGGGACACTCACCCTGTGGCCGGGGATCGAACCAGTGCTACAGAGGCTGCGGGCAGCTTCGCAACCCAGCGCTCAACCGCTGCACCACCGGGGAGGCCCTGGGTTAACCCATTTTAAATACTCTGTAAGTTTACAATTTATTGCATGCACTATGTTTCTAAGCAAAGTATTTCCAGAAAAATCTATTTTCAGAAAAGTAATTTTAGAAGGGTAAGTTGATGTTGCCTTTATAGAAAAATAATAAACTTGTATATAGTCCCACAGAGCCTTTTTGCCTGCTCATGTTTGTGTTTGATGCCTTGAGGGCATGAGAACCTGAGGCTCCCACTGCTTGGCAGAATGTCTATGTCATGGATTTGCCCATGGCAGCAATCAAAGGGTTTTACCACAAAGATCTCCACCTCTGTGTGCTGCAGATTAGCACAGATAAGAAGTAAGCGGTGGGCCAGGTTTCTGTGCAGCATTTCTTTAGAAAAACCTCTGTGTGGCATACTAGGATATGCTAATCCTAGGCCTGTATTCCATGAGATCCTTTCCTCTCTTAACCTCCAGTTCTTCTCATCTATAAAGTAGAACATATTTCCAGGTGACTGAAAGAGAGAAGTTGATTAAAGCAAAGCACTTATGTTGCTAGGTCATAGAAAAGTGTGTTGTGGGATCTGCTCAGCCAATGGCTGCCTCCTCTTTCCTAGTAGAGCTGTGATTTTACTCATTGAGTCACATTAAGAAAGAAGTGTTAGGGCACCAGAGACAAACGCTGCTCAAAGGGGTTTAACCCTCCCTTGATGCCCCATCACATACAGTATGAAACAAGGGTGAGGCGGAGTCCACCCAGCTTCCATTTCTCCACCTGCGTGTGGGGTCATCCATCCAACCCAAGGCTTCCCTTCTTCCAAACTTGGGGAACAATCCCCCAGGCTAGGAATTTAGAAGCTCGGTGACACCCAGACAAGACCCTCTCAGTGTAACAGTGTAATCCCCCACGGAAAGGGGAGGTTCCGGGCTCACTGCCCCACCTAAAGAAGGGTGGAGCTGAGATGCCAGGGCAAGCTAAAACGGACTTGGGAGAGAAGGTTGGGAGGAGAGAACCCCAGGAGGCCCGTGGAGCAGAGACATGTGAAGAAGAAGCCACCCTTGCTTCTCAGCCTTGGTCTTGTACCAGGGACTTGGGGGGCATGGAAAGAGACACTTGAAAAAGATGTGGGTGAGAGGCCCCTGGGGAGGCTGATAAAGGCTGATACGAGCCTTTATCTTGACTTGTGTTTTGACTTTGTTCTTTTCCCTCCAGACTTGGCCTGGCCCCTTCTTTCCCTCTCCTATGATTTCCCACCAGAAGGTGCCTTAGACCTCTGGCAATTTGTTGCGCCTCAGTGGCCCTGTGTTGGGCCAACCCTGGATGGGTAACTTTGGGTATTTGATTAGAAATTATCTTTTCTTCTCTTCCTTTTATTGCACCCAAATTCTATTAAAGTGCTCTTCTACTGAAGGTCTTACTAAAAGTCTGTTCGTCTTTGTGTGGCAAATGGCAGAATCTATTTAGCATTTGGGGGGGGGGTGCCTCTCCTTCTGCCCACTAACAACAGAACACTAAAAAGAAAGTTTCTTTCTCTTTAATAACAGAAACATGGAAAGCAAGCCAGGATCTCTGCACAAAGGTAGGTGTAACTATGAATGTTTAGACATTAGACACATCCCTTCCTTGTTGCAACATGCCTGGTTTTTGGGGAACACAGACCAGGTCTAATTTAAGTACAATAGAAAGAGGTTTGCTTTTGGGGTGATGTAAACATTTTGGAACTATGAGATGACTATGTACGGCATTGAGAATGTAATGATTGAGAATGTACTAATGTACTGCACTGGATACTTAAACATGATTTGTTTTTATTATGTGATTATATAATTATGTGATTATAGTAAATGATTACAACAACAGCATGATAGGAGATTGCCCTGTATCTCACAGTAAGCACTCAAATTCTATGGAATAAATAAATTTCATCTTCTCTCCACAAGAAGGAAAATTATAGGGTGATGCCAAACCTTTAGGGAGATTTTTCCTGAGAAAGTTTCACAACAATTTAGGCATTTGATGCAATTAATTCCTATTTGTTGAACACATGTCTATTCTGTGCCTAGCTGATTGCTAGGTTACAGAGGAAATAATAGGATAAAAGAGTAAGTTCTGAACTCACGGAATTTCCAATCTGATAAGGGAAAACACAAGATCAACTGCAATGCAAGTGGGACAAATCTCATTTCAGAGTTATAAACAAAATGTTTCGGGACTGCAGGGGAAGGGGAAAGCGATTCATGTTCAATTTTTCATAATACAATTCACTTTTGATGTAGGTCCTGTGAAAAGAGCATGAGTTTGTTGGAAGGAGGGAGGAAGAACATTGTAGGCTGAAGAAACAGCGGATGAAAAGGCAGGCGCCAGGGGTGAAGAGAGAGCACGGTGTGTTTAGGGAGAGGTGAGCAGGTGTTTTGGAGTTAATGTGAATAAGGTGGGGTGATGTGGGCAGGGTGAGGGACCAAGGAGGGAAAGAAAAAAAAAACAAAGAATAATTGTAGACTTAAGAGATAGTAGTTTGAGCTACTGAATCAGCTGCCATCCTCCATGGTACTTCAGACCGCAGGGGCGCTTGGGAAGGGCATGCTGTCCAAACACGCCCTGGGTAGCACCGGAGCCCTCATCCTACCAGCTTCCCCGAGGCAGAGATCCCTGGAAGCTGTCAGCAGCCCTCTCAGGTATCCTTCCTGGGGGCAGCACAGTGAGCGGGGGCAAACGCTTGTCCCCTTACCTTAATTTGGGACAACCCTGAAGAGGCGTTGCAGTTCCCTAGCTCCCCATAAGACTAGCTGAGGCATCTGTTGCGACTACACTGCTGCTCAGCTTCTCCTACTGCCCTTCCTCCCTGCCTTGACCGTGTAGTCCCAAAAGGACTCAGCATAGATCTCGGTTATGCTGATCTCAGAGTCAGGTTCCAGGGGCCCCAATTGACACAGGGACTGGCAGATCTCCTTTGGGGCAAGGGAGCTCCTATATAAATAGAAATTAACCGCGGGTGTGAGAAAATGAGGGCGCTTGGTCATTCACTGACCTCTTGATTATCAATCCCTTTTGACTCTTGGCTCTTATGCTTCTATTGATCAATCTCAACTTTACTCCCATGACGTGCCTGCCCCGACGCTAAGGCATCTTCCCTTACGTCTCTCTCTCTCTTTAAAGATTTATTTATTTATGCATACAAAAACTGGGGTATAGGTCAGAGGTTCAGGGGGGTGAGAGGAATCACCAGAGACAGAGTGGGGAGCAGAACAGGCAGATTGATTGAAATACACTGCTGAGGGGAGCAGCGGGTGAGGCAGGAGAGGTCTGCTGTGCCATGTGGGTCACCTTCCTGGCTGGGGATCGAACTTGTGCTGCAGTGGCTACGGATGGCTTCACAGTGCTGTGACATAACCCCTTGCGCCACCAAGGAGGCCCCCTACACCACTCTTTTTTTGCTATAGTCACAGCCCATCTCCACCCTTGACTGGTCCACAATCACCTGACATCCTATATCCTGTACTGATCAGCAGCTTCCTCCATTCAAATCAACCAATCATGGCTCCATGCATTTTTGTGATCATAATACTTTACTCTTTAAAAGCTGACAATGGGGGGCCTCCCCGGTGGTGCAGCAGGTTGAGCGCAGCACTGTGAAGCTGTCCGCAGCCTCTGCAACGCGGGTTCGATTCCTGGCCCGCCAGGGAGAAATCCACATAGCGTGGCGTACCTCTCCTGCCAAGCCCGCTGCTCCCCTCAGCAGTGTCTTGGGTCCGCCTGCCTGTTCTGCTCCCCACTCTGTCCCTGGTGAGTTCTCTCACCCTCCCACATGTCTGGTCAGTACCCCAGTTCTTGTATAAATAAATCTTTAAAAAAATAAAAATAAAAGCTGACAATGGATCCAAGGAGGTCCAAATTCCCCTTTCAGAAAATCAGAAATCCACCTACTGCTTTCCTTATATTGAAACCCATTTCCACCTCTTTAAAGGCGTAAGGTTGGCTTTATTATTATTTTTTAAAGATTTATTTATTTATTTATACAAGCACTGGGTACAGTCAGAAGCGCGGGAGGGTGAGAGAATTCACCAGAGCCAGAGCGGGGAGCAGAACAGGCAGACTGACAAAGTACACTGCTGAGGGAAGCGGCGGGTGGCAGGAGAGGTCTGCGCGCCATGTGGGACCCT